GGTCAATTGTCATTCTCAGTATTTTTCAGCGGGCCAAAAATAAGAATATGGTAAAAATAAATAAATGTCCGTTTGGTTAATATCGTAATTATAGTGGAATTGTGTGACAAATGTTTAAAATGTCAGCTGCCGAACTTAAACAATCTCACAATTTTCTGGTTGAGAGGTCCCACTCGTTGTCCCACTGCTCTTTGGTGAAAGAGGAGTGCTTATAAGGTATACCAACCAGAATCTCTCTCTCTCTCTCATCTCATCTCTTCATTCATCTCTCTCTCTCTCTCTCTCATTGTTGCCAGTTTTGTTTCTTGAAGGACTGATACACAAAAGAAAACGCTTCCAAAAAGCAGAAGAAATTGTCTTTTGCTCTCAGGCAAGCCCATATGATCTTCTTTGCTTTCTCTTCATATCTGCCATTAATTACTGTACATGCACATATGTATATTGTTTCTGTATCTCATACTCTGCAAATCAATTCATGTTGATCCATAATCAGCTATTACTCTATACTGCTTTTACTGTTGTTTGTATCTAAATCTCTTGCTTGATGAATCATTAACTTACTCTGTTTAATGATCTTTTGAATAGATTTAAAATCCGTTTGGATCTTTATCGGAATCACTTCGTGTTGGATGGGTTTTAGAGAGAATCTTTTTTCTCTGTCAGTTTCAAGACATGTGGATTGTTTTGATCATCAGAATTATCGAGGCTCTCTCTCTCTTTCTATATATTTTCGAAGATCGGTTCTGGGCTTCTAAATCTATAGGCTTGATCTCTGAGTCTGTTCATGCTGATCGGTCAAACTTCTTTCATCTTTTGAATTTTTTTCATTTATTCCTCTTCTTTTCTTTTTCCTTTTGGATTTTTTTTTTTTGAGTTAGAATCCTTTTTTTTATTATAAAAAAGTTTTATACAAAAAAAAAAACTAACAATTTTTCAATCAATTTCTCTCACTTATCCTAACAAAATAATACCCAACTCAAAGAGGCTGTGTGAGTGATTGATTTTCGATATTATTTGTACAAAATAAATATTCCCAATTTGAAATTTTCAATTTGTTACTGAGCTGAATTTTAAACAACGAAGAGTTTTTTTTTTTTTTTTTAAATAACAATTTATTCTTATTTATTTAAATTGGTTATTTGGGAATTTTTTTTTCCGTGGGGTTTGTTTTTTTGCAAATTAAAAAGTGTTGGTTGGGTGGGGTGAGAGAAAGACAGAGCGAAGGGGGATCCATTCCTGACGTGTAAAAGCTCCGTGTGTGAGTTGCCATCGTGGGTCCAGCACTTGACCTCGGGTCCCACCAATATGAGGGTGACATGGGCCCACCGGAACCCCCCCCCCCCCCCCCTTTCCCTCTCAGTGAAAACGTAGGCCCCAACGAAGGGGTGTGTGTGTCTATCAGCGAGTGAAACAACTCTATACCTGTGGAATCTGGATTATCTAGTTTTTAAATTTTCTGGAGTTGGGGAGTTCGATCATGCTATGAGCTATGGATACGTGAAATTAGGTACGATGATAATTTTAGAGACGATCTTTGAACTTGGTGTGAAATCATTATAAAATTAGTAAATTTAAGTTTTATTTAAATAAATTCGAGGAACAAATTGGTGGATCCATCAAACCCACAAAAGTGAGTTAACTTGAATCCTTATAAATACGGTTCGAGTTTTTCGTATTTTGCATCTTAAAAAGTTTTATGTTTTTTATTTTGTATTTTTAAAAATTAAATTAAAATTGCAACCATGTTATTAATTTTTGTCAAAAGTCATTTCATTGACACTGACGAAAAATCAACAGAAATGTCACATCATAATACTTTTGATATATTAAGGGTATAATATGAAGAATTTAATTTTTGAGGATATAAAGTAAAAAATTTTAAATCTTTTAAGGTATAAAGTGCAATTTGCCTATTCGATTTATGCACTACACCAACCCAACATGATATAAATTTGATCCTAAAAGATTATAAATCAATTAATTTTTTTTTTTATTTTTATATAATAGAATTTATGCGACTTAAAAACACATTAATGTAATTGACAGTTTTTAGTATTGTGTAAAAATTTATTTTTTAATGTAAGTTAAAAAGGCATTAGATGCTAGTAAAAAGTAAAGGGTTCCGTTTTATAAAAAAAACAGTATTTAAGTAAGAAGGAAGGGGGTGTAGATGAGCTGTCCGACGCGGTTCAAAATTCGAAAAAACAGAGGATGTCACTGCCCATCTTTAATGGGCCCCATAATTACCATTCCTTTCTGGTATTGGCAGTCTTTAATCTTTATAGACAGAAACAGATATTAAACTTTTGATTAGAATATAGTTTTAAACCCAAGTGTTTGATGAGTGCCTAGCCATCTTGTACGCCTTCCATATATCAAACAAATGATGACTAAACTTTGAATTCGGATTTGGGTTAAACTCGGGTCGAAAATCCTGCCCAATCTAATTCGGTCATTCAGAATACATTTGCCAAACTGTTGCGAGATATAGCGAAGAATGCTTAGGATGGTCCCACTGGCCCACATTAGAGTGCGTGCTAAGCAAGGAAGGGCCCACAGAGATGACGAGGCTCACCACTCAGGTGTTTGGTGAGCACTTCTATGGGAAGTGTCCACAGAGAAACAGCCTGTCGTTGATGTCACTCAAACATGAGCCAGAACTTGTACACAAAAGGGTGATGAATATAAAATTAAGGTGCTTAAAAAATCTATTCCATTATTGTTATTTATTTAATACATAATTTTAAATTCATTTTTACTTATTATTTTTAAAATGAAATGAATTTTTTTTTCCAAAATATGTTATCTTAAAAAATATCAACATGTGTATAATATTGTATATAAATAATGTTTGAAATAAAAATTATTTTGAGCTATGAATTAATTAAAAATGAAATGATTTAACTTATAATATAAATGAGTGATGCGATAGAAATGAGCAAAAAAATATATGAGGATAATAATGCTAAAATTCATAGCTCCATTATTATATAGATTATGAATTTCATTTGATAAATTTTGTGAGTTATCCTACAAGTTTTTGTGGTATAATTATAACATAAAAATTTAAAATCGATCCTAAAATGTTGTGATATATTTTAAAAAAAAATTATGACTTTTGAGATCATGTTACAATTTTTTAACATTCAAGTTATTATTTAAAACTTTTTTTTATTGCTGCTAACTCTTACAAAGTCTCCTAGTATCAAAATCAGTTTAGCAAGCTTTGTTGAAATTAATTGGACTATGTAATATTTCAAAAATTTAATGACATATATGAATGTTTTTTTTTTAAAAAGGCGATTACCAACCTCTGATAAGTTAGAGGTCTCAAGTTCAAAACTTTTCATATCCTCTAAGGGCCACCTACCCTTGTTCCTTTAGGGACACGTCCTAAACCCGCTCGAGTTATGGTGGCCAATATCCGAGCTTGAAAATACATCAATGATGATTATTTTTGTACAATCACACAACTCTCCCGTACTTGCAAGAGTTAATATTTTTTTCATTTATGTATTTTCTCTTCTTTAAGAATTTTTGTCACTTCGGACATTTTTTCTTTTTCAAGAGATTTTATTTGAGATGATGTGGGTGCATCTCTATTTTCTATTTTAACAACTTTCTCATGAATTGTATGTGATTGCTCTTCTGTTCTCCAATTTTGAGGAGCTGAATCTATTGAACCTATAGGTCAACAATGGCATATAGTAGATGATTCATTTACTGCCAAACATTTCTCAGTGGGAATATCAACCTTTGTCGGAGTGTTCACAGTTGATACATATGATTTGGTTACTTTTGTTGCATTAGTAATTGCATCACTTATATTTTAAATTACAATCATTTATAGTCTCAATATGAAATCTACTACAATGTATATCTTAGAAACTTAGTAAATTTCTTTTCAATCTGACCGAATATAAAGTATTGCTGATATGGATTTCTGTTACATTTGGTAACATGATAATGGCTCTTCCAGAACCTTCAATCGAGCTTGCCTGATAGAGAAAATCTTTTATCTTGAAGAATTTTGTGCGTTGTGTCATTGTTTGCTAAACATGCATCTTCACTATTGAACTCTGGATTGTCTAATTGATTAATAGGATTAATTCCTTTTCATTTGTGTAAAATCTAAAATAAGCTTATCTAAAGAAAACATGTACAAATAAAAAGACAATGCATTCTTAATAATAGATTAGTAATAACATGATTAACAACATAGAATTAATTGAAGTTGTGTTTCTAATTAAATTATCAATGTTGCTACCTAGGATCGATAAATAAATATTAAACATCAAAATGAGTTATGTACATATTTTTTTCCCTTGGTAACTCTGGGTTGTCTAATTGATTAATAGGATTCATTCCTTTTCATATGTGTAAAATCTAAAATAAGCTTATCTAAAGAAAACATATACAAATAAAATGACAATGCATTCTTAATAATAGATTAGTAATAACATGATTAACAACACAGAATTAATCGAAGTCCTGTTTCTAATTAAATTATCAATGTTGCCACCTAGGATCGATAAAGAAATATTAATATCAAAATGAGTTATGTACATATTTTTTCCCTTAGTAAAGGTCCACTAAATGTTTGGGCGTACCAATGTCCTTTCATTCCACACGTGCAGCAAATTTTCTCATAACTCTTGGGAGGTGTATTTTGTAAATCACTCCTGAGCGCGATGCATCCATATGGAAATATTCAGTTGGATGCACCACTCGGGATGGGCCAAACATAGGAAGGGTATGCAAGTATATTCTTATGCCCTCTCTCCACAAGCTTATGCTTAAGGTCTTGGAAGCATTGGTTGAGACTACTTGTAAATTTATATCTTGGCTTTCTGTAATATGCCATACACCAATCAAATATGACATTGTAGTTTCAGTTACGCCTTGTTTATTTTGCTTTGATTGATCTCTGAAGTGACTTTTTTTATTTTTGTTTATTCAGCTTCTGCAGAAAAAGCTGGTAGGGTGCCCTTTGTTTTGATATGGAAGAAGAGACAGTAGCAAGTCCAGAGGTAGCAGTGGTGAAGGTTGTTGAAGACAAAAACAGCAGTGCTGAGCCCATTAAGGTAACTTCATGCTTAGCTTCTCGACCATGATTTTTGAATATAATGGATAATCAGATAGCTCATCTTTTGCAGTGCCCTATGCACATGAGTGATCAAATGTCATACTTAAGTGGACAAGTATGATTCATTTCTTTTTTGTTAGCTTGGGTCTTTCAGCTTGATCCCCTGAGTAAGGTGTAATAACTTCCCATCCAACCACCAGGGGTCATGAAATGGCATTAGTATGTGTCCAATTCAGAGATTTCTATGATTACACGAGTGCATGAAATTATCTGCGTCAGTTGTATGAGTCTATCCCCCAGTTTCAACCATGAAATGCAGGGATCACCATTAGTTACATTTCCTGAACATTTAGTTGCAGTGGAAATTAGCCTGTGTGCCTTAACCACTTTGCTTTTCTATGAATGCTCCTTTGTAATACAAAAAAAATGTACCATTCAATATCGTTTTTCCTAAGTACTTTTTTTTGTCGCTGTTTAGTTTTTTAGTATTTTTTAAGTATTGCTTATTTTACATTTTGTCTTTTTCCTTTTTATCTTATACGGGTATGATGCTTCATCAAAAATTAATTGCATAAATAGTAGTACATAAAATGCACATGTCTGCCTACATACTAAGATAGTAAGATGCATTCAGAGAATTTTTGCAAAATAGTGATCAAGCATACTTTTGCTTTTTGATAATTTTTTTCTTTCAGAAAGTAGTTTAAATAAGCCTTACTAAACAATACATTTGTTTTGTTTTGGACTCTGTACTACGTACTTTGATCACGAAATAGGTACCCCATCTGTCTAGGAGCCATTCCAGGAGATGGATATCATAAAAATAAGGAAGAGATGAAGGGAATCATACCCTGGAGTATGGTGTATATGTAACAAGTGTGACTGAAAGCAATCAGTCTTCTTCAAATGGTATACACTTGCAAGCAAACACAAAATTGTAAAAGAAAGAAAAGAAAAATTAGAGACAATTAAGAGAAGAAAAGAAAAAAATTGAGATTTCATATACTTCAAATTTCTCAGTTATACCGTTCTTTATTATCCAAATAATATATTCATGTTCCAGTATTTTATGAATTTTAGGGCAATAACCCCTCACTATCAATACCAATCCCACGGAGTAAAAATTCCTTACCCTCTTTTCACATTAATGGTTTGCATTTGTAGTTTGCCTTTGAAGGTCAATTGCCTGATTAAGGAAAAGCAAAAGGTTAAATTAAAATAATGTCTTTTGTTGGCAGTTTCTCCTATCACCTTTAATTTGCAACCCAAGTACTTTAAGATGTCATATTTACAAGACCCTAATTATCATTTCAAAAATCTAAATCTTTGGAACCCATTCTGTTATGTTCACCTTGATTTGATATTCCAATTTGGGGTAAGTAACATTTTTTTGGGTAAGATTTGATATTTCGTCTGTTCTAAAAAAAAGCCAAACCCAAACAAAAAATTCACTTAATGCGGTTTCTAAAAGCTGTGTTGCATTAAAAATATTGTCACAGGTGACAAATGGGGATTTAAAACAAGTGGCGAAAGAATCAAAGAAAGAAGAAGAAGAAACTGTCTTGGATGGAGAATTTATCAAGGTAGAGAAGGAGTCCATAGACATAAAGCATGCTGAAACAGCGTCTGTTGAAGGCAACAAGCTATCTGTCATGGAACGAAGCCCAAGAATTTCATCTGATAGCAGAGAATTTCTGGAAGCGCAAGAAACTGTGACAGACCTTCAGCATGAATTGGAAAGAGTAGCTGGAGCACTAAAGCAATATGAATCAGAGAATACACAGCTTAAGGACGAAGTCTCACTTACAAAGGAGAAGCTGGTGGAAACTGGGAAGAAATATGAAGAGCTTGAACTTAATCACAAGAAATTGCAAGAGGAGATCTTGGAAGCAGGAGAGAGACACACTGCCCAGCTTAACGCTTTGCAAGAGGCGTTGCAAGCTCAAGAAATGAAACACAAGGACCTGACCAATGTGAAGGAATCATTCGACAGTCTTAGTCTTGAGTTCGAGAGTTCAAGAAAGAAGATGGAGGTGCTAGAGCAAGAGCTGCAAACATCGACAGGGGAGGCACAGAAGTTTGAGGAGTTGCATAAGCAAAGTGGTTCACATGCTGAGTCAGAGACGAAGAGGGCCTTGGAGTTCGAGAAGTTGCTTGAACTGGCGAAATCAAGTGCAAAAGAAATGGAAGATCAAATGGCTTCTGTACAAGTAGAGCTCAAGGGCCTATATGAGAAGATTACTGAAAATGAGAAAGTTGAAGAAGCACTCAAAACTACTACAGCTGAGCTTTGCAAAATTCAAGAAGAGATGGAGATATCAAAATCACAAGTTTTGGAAATGGAGAAGAGGCTCACTTCAAAGGAAGCTCTTATAAATGAACTGAATCAAGAGTTGGATCTGAAAAAGGCCTCTGAATCTCAGGCCAAGGAAGACATTTCGGCGCTTGACAATCTGCTTTTATCAACCAAGGAAGATCTTCGAGGAAAGGTCTCTGAGTTGGAAGAAATCAAGCTGAAACTCGGGGAGGAAGTAAGGACAAAGGAGCAGGTTGAAGTTGGGTTGAAAAACCAGGAAGCACAGGTCTCCGTGGTAAGGGAGGAATTGGCCATGGTTACCAAAGAGAAAGAAGCTCTTGAAGCTTCAGTGGCTGATCTAACAAACAAGGCAGTACATATGAAGGAGTTGTGTAGAGACCTTGAGGCGAAGTGGCAGCTGTCTGATGAGAACTTTTCTAAAGCAGATTCTCTGTTGTCGCAAGCTTTGGCAAATAATGCAGAGCTGGAACAGAAGTTGAAATCTCTGGAAGAGCTCCACCATGAATCTGGTTATGCAGTGACTACTACTACACAAAAGAATCTTGAACTTGAGGACATGTTAAGAGCTTCCAGTGCTGCAGCCGAGGAAGCAAAATCAGAACTAAGGGAGTTTAAGACAAGTTTTATGGCAGCAGAACAGAAGACTGTTGAGCTAGAGCAACAGCTAAATGTGGTGGAATTGAAAAACAGTGATGCTGAAAGAGAATTGCAAGAGTCGTCTGAAAAAATATCTAAACTCAATGCTACTCTGAGTAAGGTTGAGGAAGAAAAGAAACAGCTGAGCACCCAGATGCAAGAGTACCAGGAGAAAATAAGCCTACTGGAGTCTGACTTGAGTCAGTTATCTGCACGTAATTCAGAGCTCGAGTTGGAGTTAAAGAATACTGCAGAGAAATGTGCTGAACACGAGGGACGAGCCAATGTAATCCATGAGCGCAGCCTTGAACTCGAAGATTTCATGAAGATATCACATTCTAAAGGAGAGGAAGCTAGCAAAAAGGTGACTGAGTTGGAGCTTTTGCTTGATGCCGAGAAATACAGAATCCAAGAGCTTGAAGAACAGTTAAGCTACTTTGAGAAGAAATGTGGGGCTGCAGAAGTGGAATCTAAGAGACACTCCAATGAGGTATCTGAACTCGAAGAGGAACTCAAAGCATTACAATCAAAAGCATCAAGCCTCGAGGCCGCACTGCAGATGGCTAACGCAAAGGAAAAAGAATTGGCTGAATGCTTGAATGTAAAAACAGATGAGAAGAAAACTATAGAAGATGCATTGGTAAATTCAACTGGGAAGCTTGCTGAAGCAGAAAATCTGCTAGAAGTCTTGAGGAATGAATTAAATCTGACTCAACGGAGACTTGAAGGCATCGAAAGTGATCTTAAGGCTGCTGGACTGAAAGAAAGTGAAGTTATGGAGAAGCTTAAGTATGCCGAGGAACAATTAGAGAGACAAGGCGGAGTATTAGAGCAAACTACTGCAAAACACGCAGAGCTTGAGTCTTTACATGAAACCCTAACTAGGGATTCTGAGCTGAAACTCCAAAAGCAATTGGAAATTTCACCAGCAGAGATTCTGAGGCAAAATCTTTGTATGAGAAAGTGAAAACCCTTGAAGACCAGTTGAAGAATTATGAAGATCAGATTGCTGAAGCATCCGAGAAATCTGCATCTGTGAAGGAAGAATTGGATAAGATTGCAGTGAAGCTGGCTTCTTCAGAAAGCACCAATGAAGAACTCAACAGAAAGATCTTGGAAGCAGAAGATAAAGCAGCACAGTATTTGTCAGAGAAAGAATTGTTAGTTGAGACAAATATACAGCTCAAAAGCAAGGTTGACGAGCTTCATGATTTAGTAAACTCGGCTCATGCAGAAAAGGAAGCCACTGCTCATGAACTTGTTTCTCACATGAACACTATTACAGAATTAACAGAAAAGCACTCAAGAGCCTCGGAACTGCACTTGGCAGCTGAAACTCGCGTCTCAGAAGCAGAAACACAATTGAAAGAAGCCATTCAAAAATTATCCCATAAAGATTCTGAAGCCAAAGAATTAAACGAGAAGCTAAATGATCTTGAAGGCCAGACAAAATTGTATTCCGTGCAGGCTCATGAAGTTTCAACACTAGCTGAAACACGGAAGATTGAGCTAGAACAAACTCTCTCCAAACTGAAGGATCTGGAAAGCATCATTGAAGAACTTCAGAGCAAGTCTGGTAAATTTGAAAAAGAGAGTGAAGGGTTAGCGGAAGCAAATTTGAAGATTACTCAGCAACTGGCCTCATATGAGTCTAAACTGAATGATGCTGAAACAAAACTTTCTGCAGCATTTGCCGAGAAGGATGAAGCAGTAGAACAGGTTCACTCTTCAAAGAAAACAATAGAAGATTTGACACTGCAGCTTGCTTCTGAAGCGCAGATGTTACAAGCACAGGTTTGCACTTTGTAAATTTTACATCATACATTAGAACCAATATATCATTTTCCACAATATAATGATCCAATTATGTCTTCATGCTAGATATCAACGGTTATGGAAGAGAATAACCTGCTCAATGAAACATATAAAAATGCCACGAAGGAACTTCAGACTGTAATACTTCAACTTGAAGGACAACTGAAAGAACAGAAATCAAGTGAAGATGCTTTGAAAGCTGAGTTGGAAATTCTGAAGGCTGAGATCGGTGAGAAGTCAGTGTTGCAAAATCGTTTGAAGGAGCTTGAAGAACAATTATCCATAGCCAAGGCTCGAGTGAAAGAAGAGGTACTGCACTTGATTGTATAGAGTCGAGCAAATTACGAAAGGAAAATGCCTGGAGTAAATTTCACACTATTAATCTATACTGAAAATCTGAATTGCATATAGGTTGAAAGTGTTCGGGTAGCCGCAACTGCAAGAGAAACAGAATTGACTTCAAAATTGGAGGATCATGTGAGTCAAGTCCGTGATAGAGATATGTTAAGCGAGCAAGTGTTGCAACTTCAGAGAGACCTACATCAAGCCCAAACCAACATGGCCGAACAGGTTAACCACCATCATATACTGGTTTTGTACATTTCTAATGTTTTGTATAGTGTTTTCCATGATAATAAATACTAGCACAGTTAGATGGTCTGAGGTTGCATGCTATGCCAAGTATGACCTTTCAACCTTCTGATTCTACAAATTGAACACTGAACTCTTTTTGGTTTAAATTTCTAATGAAACAGAAAGAGGCAGATTCTAAGAAGGATTCAGAAAGAAAAGCTGCTTTAGCGGAAATTGAAGCTAAGAGCAAAGCGGCCCTAATTCTAGAACAGCAAGTTAAGGAGCTTGAACAAAAATTGCAGCTGGCTGCTAAATCAAAAGAGAAGGTCAGGTTCTTAACCTGTTTTATGTGAGCATGTGGGTATAATATTTTCATATTAGAATTTTTTTTTACATCTTATAATGTTCCATTGGAAAAAGAAAACTGTGGAGTTTTGATGCATAAAATTATTTCTCACCAGAAAGGTTACCACATGATGCATATGCACAGAAGCTATCTCGATCTTTCCTACACTCATTTTCCACATGAGGAAACAAGATTATCAAGTTTATCTACAATGATCCAACCAAGTTTTATGCAATGATGATATAACAGTAGATTTAAACTATGTTATTATTTCATACTAAAGTTAGTATCTGGTGGTTATGTCATAAGAATTTGAAACTAAATTAGAGACTCTGAATGTTAAACTGAAAAGCTGTCTAAACTTGAATTTTTATTCTTCAGGATCTGGGAAGCAATCTGACTGAACTAAGGGATGACATCGAGGTGAAATCTAGGGACATTGGGTCAACCATTTCGACTCCATCAAAAAGGAGGAGTAAGAAAAAGGCGGAAGTGACTTCCGCTCAAACCTCATCCTCCACAGTGACTAACAATCAAATCACTGGGGATTCTCCGACAATGACCTATAAGTTCATACTAGTTGTGGCAATTGTGTCAGTGATCATCGGCGTAATTCTTGGAAAAAGATACTAGCTATGGCTTTGCAGGTTTTGGTTTTGCCTATATTTTCAGGTTTTCTCAATTTTCATTTGATTTTTCTTTTTTAATCTATGCTTAGCAGATTGTAATTTTGTCAGATTTGGTTTCACTTGTGTGGTGTTTAGTAGAGGGCTTGAAATTGGTCAGGGAATTGGTTTTCATTTATCTCCCTTACCTTTATGCATAGCAAAATACAATGATTTTTGTATCATTCATGTGTGTACTTAGTTTCTTTGATCAAGTTGCAAATGATTTTGGATTTATTTTTTGGAGGCTCTCTAGAATGTAATTTTTTTGGGTCAAAGAAAAAGGGGATAGACGATTAGTAGGGAGTAACCCCTTTGGATGTGACGATGAGAGTTTTTCATCGCAGAATTTCTAGTTTAAGCTATAGCTATTAACCCATAAGGATAATACCACCAAAATCAAGCAGCAAACGGTTTTATTCCCGTGAATCGAACCATGCTTGATAATCATACGAGAATCATGGACGATTCTAGACGGGTATGGTTTACTACTAGTCCATCGGTTCGGGTGGTACTCTCTAGAATATTAACTGATTGATTATTTTAAATATTTTCTTGAGGGCTTCATTGTTTAAGAAGTTTTTTTTGTGGAAGGGCTATCTTTTTTCATTGAGGTCAGCCGCATCGTCTGATGCTTGATCTCCTGGCTACCATGCCAGTCTTATACTATGCAGATTTTCAGATATAACTAGGTGTGTTCATGGCTGATCTACCAGCTGGAGGCAGCAATATTGTGGCCAGTGCCATGACAACTAGGGCTTAGATTGAGCGGGCTAATTGTTTTTTAGGCCCACAACAACTGGGATTCGGATCAGATTGGGAAATTTCTGGTCAAACCAGATTCTGGGTAGATTTTCCAGGCCAAATTGCACAAGTTGATTCTTGCGCGCAACATTTGAGATAGCGACACCTATTTGAACAGGATGAGATTCCTACAATAAAAAACAAGATTAGAAAGATTGCCAGAGGTGTGTCTCCTCCAATGCCTAACTCAGTCGGTATTCAGACTGAGAGTACTATATGTAGACTAGGTTGCAATTGAATACTTGAGACTCAATTTTTTTGACTATTTATATATTGAGAGATGGTGACATGTCACGACTCGTACAATTTCATGGCTGATTACTCAATGGCTATTGTATCCCTCGAGTTGTGCATTTACTAGACCCAAGGGAGGCCGAAGGTCTCTCAGGGTCAAACATCGCGATGATTACCTTACTCAGAGTACCGAGCATTTAATGAGGTTCGTTTGGGTATTTATTGGTTTTTTTTAATTATTTAATGAGTTGTGTCGAGTATTAAATATATACGCACCGATCATTAAATATTACCTAATGTCGATGTAATGATACAACAAATCATTCCCTACCATTTGTTGTATCAATGGACCCACATGTCTGATAATTATTATTGCTTGGGCTCGATACCAATTGTTCCTCCAAGGGTTTTGCGGCCACCTATATGAGTTCGATTTGGTCTCCTCAGGGTTTGGTACGCTCTAAGTGTCAATCGCTTTCTATCCACGTGTCACCCGGTGATGGTGATAAGAAAGTCAATTAATGTCCCATACAAAAACTAACAAACGTTGATGTCACATTGAATTCTTTAAAGCTCTCTAGGTTTATTCACACTCTCCAATTTCCAGATGAGGTCATAAGCTGAACTCTTGACCGAGTTAATAACACAAACTAATGAACTTTACAATCCACGATCCTAGACTTGACTTGAGTTGTAATTTTGAAGTGTTTGATAAGGAGAAGTGTTTAGGTTATAGTTTGGCCCCCGGAAACTTCGCTAATTCTTATTTAAATGTCTCGAGATTGTTTATCTAGATTTTGTAGTAGAGCGATAAAGTTATAATTCATTAGATAAGTGGGTCCCAATAATATTTAGTGATGAATATTGTGTTACATAATATTACTCATTTTAATTTGGGTTTCCTTAATGAATACAATTGAGTAGACTCAACCAACCATGACTCTCCATTGTGTGTTGCTGGTTGTGGCTTATAAAGATTTTTAAAAAGTTTAGTCCTCATTTGATAGGGAAATGCAGGCACTTGTTCTCGTAAGTTTTTGGTTTCTAGAAAAGGGGCAAAATTGTCAATTAATAACATATTGAGTCATGTGATTTTCATAAGACTTTTTTTCATTCTAACTGAGGTGGATGGACATGGAAGGTCAGTATTGCAATAATGATCACTAAATTGAGATGAAAAAACAAATAAAGGATTAATAATATTTTAATCTTTAAAATATGCATGTTTTGTCAATTTAATTTTTTATATATTAATTTTATCTCTAAAATATTCAATTCGTGTTTAAATGGTCTCTACATAGACTAACCGTTAAGTTTTTAATAGAATAATCACATGTTAATCACGTAATACCATCTAAAAGAATAACACATGGTCACTTCTGTAAAAAAAATTTAACGAATTATCTAATTAGGGACTAAAGTAACTTAAATTGAAACTTTAGGAACCAAATTGATAAAACTAATACAATAAGGACTAAATTGACAAAACAAACATACTTTAAGAACCAAAAGTATTATTAATCTATAAATAAATTAAGCGGGCTTATTTGAATTATAGAGAAAACTCTATGGATCAAATGTAATTTGTTAGACGAGGTTGAATTATCCCTTTCACAACATTATTAGAGTAGTAAGCAAAAATAGAAGGCTTGTCATTTTGTGTTTAATTTTCATAAAACATTCTTATGATTGTTGGAAAATGAAAGCAGTTCAATGATTTATATTGTCCGAGAAGCCACCTTGAGAATGGAAGGAAGGAAAGGAAAGGAAAGGATAGGACAATGGTCAAACATGTCCTATAAAAACAAAATATCATGTTTTATGAAAAACTAAAATAGGTGACGGTATTAGGCCTCTAATAAATAACGATATGCCAATTAAAGTCATCTATTCCCAATGGAATACTTTTGTCCATGAATCCAATTTAAATTTAAATAGTAGGGTATGAATTGTTATTTTTTAAATGATTAGTCGAATTCGAACCCGAAACATTGATGCATGTTTCCTAAATTGTGATTTAATTATACTAATATCATATTTGATTATCATCTGAACTGCATTATAAGTATATGTAAGCAAATTTATGATGAAATTGAGTAGTTAATATATCAAACTTGGTTCAAACTAATCACCATTGTATTTGTTAATGACAAGTAAACAAATAATAATGGGAAATATCAAATTGTGAAGGTAAGACAAAGCTTGATGCCTTAATTTTCCCAAAAAAAATGGGTAGAGCATCTAAAGATACGACGTAATTACAGAATATTTATTCCCCACCTCTTTTTAATGTTAAGCCACAAGATCATGGTACTAATTAGATCGTAGTATAACTATTAGATTGATACTGAATTTTATCGTTAAATTCAATAATATATTTATTATCTTCGCCAAGGAGATCCAATAACATTGATCAACATAGTTTACACTTAAATTAATCCCGTCAAATACAATTTATTTGTTCACATACCTCATCTAATCTTGTGTGTGTGTGTGTGTGCATGTCTGTGGAGGAAGGGGGTGTGCCACGACGAAACAAGGGAATGAAAGACTCTGTTGCGTTGGATGCTCTTTACCCTCCCCATAATCAAGGGCAGATCTATGTGTGGGCCAGGAGGGGGCACTGACCCATCCTCAAATTTTTATCTTAATTTTATATATGTTATATAATTATTTATTTTAATATTATTTGTTGTGTCCACCCTTAAATTGACCTTAATTTGCATATTTGTGAGCTCTTTTGGTTTTAAATTCCTAATTTCTACATAAATTTTTTTTTTATAATAACCTACAACATATCTCTTTTTATTTAAGATCGATGATTGACTTGTTTCAGTTGAATTCTAGTGGTATTATTACTCTTATTTGTTAATGTTAATATAAAAATAGAAAAAAAATAAAGATCAATTATAAATACATATAACCGGTCTTTCATTTGATAAGAGTTGTAATTGATTTTTTTTTATAGCGTTTTCTTCATATAAGATATGTATCAACTTTTGATCCTTTTTGACTTTACGGACTTTTATTTATGATATATGGTGTATTATCTTATTTTTATCTTATATATCTTTATATATGTGTAAATCGAGTGTAATTGACAGTCGACTTCAATATAACAATTTGGTAAATAATAATATTGTTTGGTAATTATTTTTTTTATTTGCATTAACATTTTTTTTGACACTAGGCTTTTATAAGATTTTTTTATGGGTAGTTTAAATTTTAATAGAGTTTAAATTTGTCATCTACACTATTTTACAAACACAAATAAAATATAAGGTTATCTTTGTAAAAATTTAAAGTCATTCATCTCTTTATACTATACCCATCCTAGTTAAAGTGTTCACCCTTAAGACGGTTTATAGCTCTGACTTTGTCGACAATGATGGTTCTATTGTCTTGGTCATCAATACGGTTTGCCTTTAATAGAGTTGATATGATGCTCTTGTTATAGAAAATGGGTATATATTTAGATTATATTAAATTGTATAAAATTTAATTTATTTACTAATTTAAATAGAATGTATAAAAATTAAAATTAGTGCACTTCTATTGACGCAGAATAACACGAATAGTAAAATTCAGAAATTCAATAATAAAAAATAATAATTCGAACCCAATGTAATCAAAGTTTTCTTAAAATAGATTTGCTCCCTCTCAATTGTTAAGGTTGATAAACAACCGTCTTCCAAAATATAACGGATTTTGTTCTTAAAAATGCAGCATTTTATTTTTCAAGACTTCAACAAACACAATTCTATGTTTATACTTAAATTGAACTTAAAATAATACTGTAGCAATATGCTGAGAGAGGGAGAGAAGAAAGACTGAATACTTAATTCAGTATTTTAGATAATTGAGAGAAGTAGAGTGAGAGAACAATTCTTAAATTGTTCAATGATATATTTTGAGAGTGCAATGACTCACCTATTTATACTCTCTAGCAACTTTTCATAAATGATGTAACTATATGTAATGATACTTTTTAATTCAAAGGGTATCAATGGTAACTTTATGAAAAAGTACAATCATTTGAAATTGTGTCTTTTAATTCAAGAGATATCAATGGTGACTTTATGAAAAATTGTGACTATTTGTAATAGTATCTTTTAACAAAAAATATGTTAGTGATAGATTTATAAAAAGAAGTAACTATTTAGATTGATGTTTTTAACTAAAAGTCACTAATTTTAAAATAATAGTCTTTCATGTCGTATTCACTTCACACATTTTGTTTTATTGAGAAAAGAAGAGGTGAGCGTAAGGAAGAGCGCTCAACGATTACCTCGATAGGCCCTCACCGATGGGACCATAAGACCCTTGACCGTGTCTAAAACATCTCTCAGCACCAGACCTAGATAGACTAGTATAGTGGTCAACCACTAAACTCCAATAGGAGCTTTAAGACTCGAACTCTCAATCTCAAGATGAGGAGTAAGGCTGGTACCCCATTAGACCACCCTACTTGGTGGTCATTTCACACATTTTCAATTGCTTCCAAAAACCATAAAAACTTTAACAACCTTGTCAATTGTTTTCAAAAATCACAAAAACTTTAATAATTTATCATTTAATAATTTTTTAAATAAATATACAATTATTTCCGACATTTCTAACACAATCGAAATTTCGTGCTTTGGTCGGATCCTCTTGATTTGTTGATTGAACTTGTGTTAGTAGATGTTGGCTGGTGAGCTTGATAGCAAATACATTATGTGAGACGAAGCAAGACCCTTTTCACCTCTTAGAAGTCGTCGGACAGAAAAGACTTTATAAATAGGATAAAAGGACTTGTGACCCTTGTGACCATCGACGTATTCATTACTATAAGTACAAATTACGGAGTAATACACTTTTTAAGCAAGTGATTAATAAAAGTTCAATAGAAAGAAAGCGGTAAAACTCACAAAAGAAGAAGAATAAGAAATTAATATTCTTAGATAGAATGTATTTTTGATTTAAGGCCTATAATAAATTAGATTTTAAAATTATATTTGAAAATTAAATTATTTGTATTTAGTTAAAAGAATGGTAAAAGATGAAGTTGGAGATTGGGAGTCTCCTTTCATAAAATCTCAACACTACCAACAAAACCCACAATGACGTCCGACAAACTCCCAACCTTACGTCGATGCCTCCAAAAGCACCCGGCCTTTCTCACCCACACATCATCTCTACTCTACTCTACTCTACTGTACTTTCTCTCTCATCAAATTCCCATCTCTGACACTTGAAGTTCTTCTCTTACCTGTCTTCTGCAACTCTCTGCAAGATCATTCTTGTCTGTTGGCTACACTTTTGTCAATTCTCTCTCAAAGGTTTTCTGGAAAAACAGTTCATCTTCTGATTCTCTCTCTCTCTCTCTCTCTTCAATTCTTCCTACCTTTACCGATCATGCTTCAAAGTCTAGTAGTCCCTCAAACACCCATAAACCCAAACCCAATCAGTAACCCTATCAATTCATCAGCCTCTTCTTCCATGAAAACAAAGCGCGCCATTGAAATTTCTGCCGCCGGCGAGTCTTCCGGCGACCACGAAGATGATCCTACTCACAAGCGCATCAACTTTTCCGGCGAAGACACAATCTCATCTGGCGATAAATCCCCTGTAACAGCTGATCAAGTAGAACCCATTATAGACAACGAGTCAACAGGTCTACGCCTCCTGGGCCTCCTACTACAGTGCGCTGAGTGCGTAGCCATGGACAACCTCGACGACGCTGGCGATCTCTTACCGGAAATCTCCGAGCTTTCTTCTCCGTTCGGGTCATCGCCGGAGCGCGTGGCTGCTTACTTCGCTCAAGCTCTACGCGCCAGAATCATAAGCTCGTGTCTCGGAAGCTACTCGCCTCTGAACGTGAAGATTTTGAGTCAAACTCACTCCCAAAACCTGTTCAACGCCCTCCAAACCTACAATTCCATAAGCCCTCTGATCAAATTCTCTCACTTCACAGCGAACCAAGCCATCTTCCAGGCTCTGGAAGGCGAGGATCATGTCCACCTCATCGATCTCGACATCATGCAAGGCCTTCAATGGCCAGGATTGTTCCACATCTTGGCATCGAGAACACGAAAGATCCGATCCTTGAGGATCACCGGAATTGGATCTTCCATGGAGTTACTAGACTCCACCGGTCGGATACTCGGTGCGTTCGCGAGTTCACTAGGTTTGCCGTTTGAGTTTCACCCTTTGGAGGGGAAGATTGGGAACATAGTTGATCTGAGTCAACTCGGAGTGAGAGTGGGAGAAACTACGGTGGTGCACTGGATGCACCATTGTTTGTACGACATAACTGGGAGTGATTTGGGAACGTTGAGATTGTTGACTTTGTTGAGACCCAAATTGATCACGATGGTCGAACAAGACTTGAGTCATGCTGGGAATTTTTTGGGAAGGTTTGTTGAGGCGTTACATTATTATTCGGCTTTGTTTGATGCCTTGGGGGACGGATTGGGTGTGGAGAGTGTAGAGAGGCATATGGTGGAACAGCAGTTGTTTGGGTGTGAGATTAGAAACATTGTGGCTGTTGGTGGGCCCAAGAGGACTGGTGAGGTTAAGGTGGAGAGGTGGGGTGATGAGTTGAGGAGGATCGGGTTCCGACCCGTTTCTCTTGCGGGTAACCCGGCAGCACAGGCTAGATTGTTGCTTGGGATGTTCCCTTGGAAGGGTTACAATTTGGTTGAGGAAACTGGGTGCTTGAAATTGGGTTGGAAGGATCTATGCTTGTTGACTGCTTCGGCTTGGCAACCGTCCGACTGAATTACTTTGGATTTTGTATGAAAATTGGTGATGGATGCAATGCAACCAACCACTTTGTATTTGTGGTCCTGGGGAACAAAGTTGTTGTCGAGGAGAGAGTCTTTTTATCTCTAATAATAGAGTTGAAGGGTAATTTGGGAATTCAAGTATGTATTTCAACATTATTTTTGAGGAGAAGAAAAAAAATATGAATGGATGAGATCAACTTCAAGGTTTGTTATGTTTGTGGGATCTGGCCTATAATATGGTAGATTAGGAAATGCCATGCAATGCTAAGTGTTGCAGTCTTTTTTTTTTAATGACATGGTTAAGTGTTATCATAAACCTCTCGTAAGGGGTAAGGGGTAGGTTAGAGGTTCAAATGCTACACGAAGTATAGTCTTTTGGAGTCATTGTTCATAGATTTATTCTTTTGTGTAGAGACGCGATTTTGTACAAGATCTAACATTAGTTCTGTACATGAGCGGAAAACACCGTAGTGATTTACTGGGACAATTGAGATATAAAATGAAATGAGTAGTTAAATTATAAGTTGTCAAAATTATTATTATAAAGTATAAGTGGGTAAATTAGTTGTTGTTAAAATATAAATGAATATATTTACTATAGTTAAAATTTAAGTTATGAGATAATCACTTAGATCATAAAATGTAGGACGAATTGTATTTTGCTTTACGAATGATTTAAAATTTTATTTTATACCTTTAAAAATTAAAATTTTCATATTGAACTCTCAATGTATTAAACATTTTGTAATGCGATCATTTCATTAATTTTCGTTACTTATTCTATCAATGTCAATGGGTTAGTTTTTGACGGAATAAGAAATAAAAACTAACAGAAGGATCGCATTACAACACTTTTAATATATTGTTGTTGTAATCTTTGAGAGGTATAAAGTGAGAAATTTTAAATCTTTCGGCGTATAAAATAAAATTCTCCCTAAAATGTAAGTGATTTGAACGGTTGGAAAACGTGAGTCATTGTTGTACTTTAAGCTATGTTTTAATATATAAATTTCACGTAATTCTTTAATTAGATGTGCGTGTGGTAACATCTAACACGTTCCGTGGCAATGTTGCGTCATTTGATTGTTGTATTTACCTTAAAAAGAACAGTAACTTTGTGGTTTCGATCAAAACTGAAAACAATCACAAAAACGACATGGTTTATGATATTTTTGTAGTAGTAGTAGTTGCATTTGGATTTGGAGATCTTGGCCAGAATAGACTGCTTGATGATTTCCATTATTCGACATTGTCGGCAACCAAACAAGATTCTCCCTACCCAGGATTAGGAATAAACGTCCATCTCCACCTGTTTGGATTCATAAACTTTACAATGGGCTTTGGAATATCAGAATGAGAAAGCCGTTAGCTATACAGTTGTAGTACAAGAAAAAAAAAAAGGTAAATTAGAAGGGGTATATTAAATTAGAGTTAATTATAAAAAAATGTATAGAAAAAAATGTAGAATAAAGAAGTTCTTAATTTTGATATTTATTTGTGTTCAAGTACATTATTTGAAATTTTCAGATTTTCTTGTGACATTTCTGTCCTCCCTTGATCCATGTGTATTTTTTTTAGAAAGTGGTTTTGTTTACAAATTATATTTATGTATTAAACATCTCCTAGTTTTATGAGATTACTTTAATATTCTGTTTATTTATGCATTAAACATCTCTCAGTTTTAGGACATATCATTTTGTTTGAATTTTAAATTTTGAAACCCTGTCTTTGTGGAGTTAATTATAAAAAAGGTATATAGAAAAAAACGTAGAGGAAAAAGTCTATAATTTTAGTTCTTATTTGTATCAAAGTACATAATTTGAAATTTTTGGATTTTTCTTTGACATTTGTGCTCCCTTAATTCATACGATTTATTTTTGGAAACTAATTTTTTTTCAAATTATATGTATGCATTAAAAATTTCCTAATTTAATAGAAGATTTGATAATTCCGTTTTTTTAAGGATAGATGTATGCATTAAAAATCTTCTAATTTAATGGAAGATTTGATTTTTTTGATTCTTCCGTTTTTTTTGAGGATAAATTAATTAGTTTAAATTTTAAATTTTGCAACAATATCTTTTGTTATCTTCTTCTTCTTCGGCCTGGAAATCATTTATCAGTACAAATTTGAAAACATTATTTAATCCTTATCATTCAATCTAAGCAATTATAAGATTTAAATTCATGATTCCATTAGATTTATATTTGTCATTTTAAAGGTGATTATTATATTTTTTAATACGCGAACACCATAACAATGTAATAATATTAGTGTAACAAGACACTTACATAAAAAAATGTACTGTTACATTTTATCAAATATATATTTGTATATAATTTCATTCAAACAGTCTATCTCTATTTTTAATTTGTTAGCACATCAACAAAATCACTTAACATTATATTTGTTGTAGTGTATTATTACATTACGAGGGAAACACAGTTAGCAGTTAGAAGATACACATTGTATATTTACACACAATGAATTAATATGACAGAAACATCGTACTTCATATAGACCAACAATCAACTCTCAACAACAGGTTCTGGTCTTCAAATGCCAAAATTTGTACGTATCTTCAAATGACGAACAAATTTTCAAAAAATAGATGTTGACGATCTTACATTAAATGGGTTAAACATTGAGATTTTTCCTTCAAAAACAAAACCCTATAAATGTTTAGGGAACAACAATTTTTCGCCAAAAAAAACACCAAAATCAAAATAAATGTAATAATATTTTTATTTTGGATAACCCATGATGTCAATACAAAAAAAAAAAGTACATGGAATGATGAAATTCAATGATCACCTTATTGAACGCAGGCTAACAAGCAACAATCAACACCTATTTCAGTTTTACAAATGTCGAAGTTCAAAATTTTTTTCAAATCGTAAACAAATCTTTCACCATTCTTGAGTTTGTGCCAATTTAACACCAAATGCTTTGTAATTTGATGTATCTTTCACAGCCTAAACACTCTTATTGTTTATGGAATATAGAAAGTTGGGTGATGGGACATTTTCGAAATACTCCAAGATGAAGACACGTGTCTTCGGTGTCACTAATCCTTGTTACTGAGATCACGTACGCATCGGTTCACAAAGTCCCTCTCCCCCAAGGTATTTTTCATAGGGATCAAGTGACATCCAGTACATTTACGTACCGACATGTATCCCTTGGTCTGATATAGGTACATCGGTCGCTATATGTACTAATCCCCCCCTCGGTACCGATATGTACCAATGTCCAGGATGTCATTCTCTTCTCCTGCAGAGCTACTGATGTATAGGTCACTAGCCTAGGTTAGGCTAGGTTAATTATCATGACCCCGTCTTACACAATTGGTGTTAGAAGGCACAGGAAGGCAGGGGCCACAGCCAATCGGGAATGGACGCGTGACATATTGTGTCACATCAGAGACAGAAAGACCGCATGCCCTTGCTGATACACGACTTGAGAAAGCAAGGGTTTAATTACACCATTCCCTTGATGAGACTGCATTCAATGCGGTAAGGCTCGGAAGTGAAAGACAATAAATGTCTCTAAGGCTGGACATTTATTGCATCCTCCCCGAGAGGAGCTCATTAAACAGTCGGCTTGCCGATGACACAGCCTTGGTCGCTCGGGATCCCGAGCAATTAAAAGAGAAGACATTTCTCGTAGGAATCAGTGCGCACGTTGCCTGTATCTAATGATCACCTACTGACCACACTGACAACAATCATGAGTATTTGAGGTATAAATACTCCTCGCAAAAGGCAAGGAAATGGGAGAACAAAAAATCTTTTCTACGAATTATACTCAGTGTTTTCTTCTTCCTCTCTCTCAAAAACTGACTTGATCGTCGGAGGGGATACGCCGAAAAACATTCTGGCGCCCTTCTAACTTGTCTTTCTTTTTTTCAAGGACCTCCCTCAGCCTTATTGGATCGTTCCATTGACCCACGAGGGTCTCTCGTTACCGTTCCAGGTTACCACCGGACCTCACAGGCCGTCTCAGGCAGCAGGGTTGACTATTCGACTGACTCACTCGAGTTCACCAAGAGAGAGATTTGTTCTCTTGTTTATATTGTGCAAGATCCAGCACGCACATTGGGCTTTTCTCTGTAGAAGATGAATCGATTTTTTGAGAGGATGAAAGAGTATACAAAACGTTTTCTGAAGATGAAGATATTCGAAAATAAATGTTTTTAAATTTCAGCGGTTAAGATAAATTCATTGTTACAAATTTTAGGAAAGAAAATTTTACAAAATGGGCAGTTACGTCTTTATATCTCAGTAATGTACTTTTTTTTAAAATATTTTTTTCTGTGTATTTTTTTTACAAAGGGCCGGCCCAATAGGCGAGTCATTTAGGCAGCCGCCAAGGGCCCAAATAATAATTGTAGTCTTTAATGATTAAGTTGGCCCAAAAAAAAACTTTGATTAAGGTCCAATCTACAAATTCTCAGGAAATGGCCCAACTTAGAACCAAGGGGCCAATCCGTCTCCCTTTCACTCCAACAGTCGAATGAATAAAAAGTCATTTACATTTACCAACCCAATTAAAGCGTACAAGTTTTCCTCTGTCTCTCTGTATAGGGGGTGTCTAGGGGTTGGGTTTGGTGAAACGGGCGGGAGAGTAGTATTCATCTTTGTATTTGCTTAAAAAATATTTATTTATTCTTGGCCTACTCTTGTTAGTGGAAAAAATTTTAATTTTTGTCTTCGCCTCGGATAAATTTTGATCTTTGTTCCCGCCACCGTCTCATTTATAGCAATTAATTTCTATAATTTCAAGAAAAAAATTAAAAAAAAATCATAAAATCTCACAAATAATTCAGCAAGAAGGATGAAACCTCGTTATATAACAAATGATTAAAAAAAAAAGAGAGAAGTTTTTAGTAAAGAGGAGTGTGTGGGTGGGTAAGGTTAGTGATATCATATATATGTATTAATAAATGAGTGGGAGGGCGTGTATGGTTTATACACGGGTTTAGTGGGGTGAGGATGAGTTTCAGTCTATCCCTGTCTTTATTCCTGTACAGATTTATATGAGTATTCCTGTATATGTCAACTGTCTAATATGTATAATTCATCCCCAATCCAAACAGAGCGGTCTTAGACGAATACCTATTTTTCTCTAGTCCACTTCCATCCGGTCTTAGACGAATACCTATTTTTCTCTAGTCCACTTCCATCGTTTGTCGGGTTGGTCTACAGGACTTGTTATTCGGTTAAAAAAAATAGGCTCGAAATCTAATAGATCCGATAGTTAGTCCGCCTAAACCCAAGCCTATTATTTAGCCCATTAGCCCACTAGCAAAAACCCAACTCAAGAACCCCCTTGCCCAACCCAACCCAACCCAGCCCAGCCCAGCCCAGTCCGACCACCTACTTTGTTTGGAAAAAAATTGACCAAAACATACAAATAAGTACCCAAATGTCAGAATTCGAAGTTCTATAAATAATGTATTCTTTTTTTTTTTTTTTTTTCATATATCAAACATAGATGCTTTAAGGGGTAGAGTTGTGTAAATGATAGATAGATGAGCAGATGCCAATTTAGTCGGGATGTGTTCATTCTATTATGATACAATTCTTCTCATATTCATAAATAAAATTATTCATTATTTTATTTTAACTCCACTTTTAATTCAAAAATATAATTTACAAGAATACTAAATTAATTTTTTAAAAATGAAAATGTATATATAAAAAAAAGCCTACCCAGTGACTTTGACATACTTTTTTTATTAATATTAACCTTCATCGACTCTTATAACTCCTAAAATATTAAATCCCACTTTCTCTATTATTTGAAAAATATATATACCACCACCACTTAAATATTAATGACCCATTAACTCATATTTTATTCAACTAATATTTAGTATTAACTAATTAACACACCAATAATAAAAAAAATAAAACTTCTAAATCAAATTTCTGCTGACTCAGGCATGGATGCTTTCATGTAAACGAAGAATATGCCTTCTCTAAAATGGCCCGATTTTTCAATTATACTCTCTTGTCCTTTTTTCTTCCTACACTTGACTTGAATGGCATCTTGTACTTTGTGATGGATCTATTCGTTGGTTGTAATTTTATATCCCACGGTTAGCTTTCGTTGACCTACTTGCTTTGGTAATAATCTACCTGTATGTCGAGAAAATATTTTAGATAACGGTGATACATCATCATCGATCACTCATAGAATATCAAATGTATTGAGTGAGTTATATTGTTTTAATAATTATAAATAATCCTTTTACCTAATAACTGTTATGTCAGAATAATTAGGTTCATCGATCACATTGATGATATTGTGTCACTGTTACACCCAATATTTAGTCATATATGATCGACTTTTCGCCGGCTTACCTTGTTTCGTATATTGCCTTATTTTATGTATCCCAGCAGATATCACACCATTCCAGAGATTCCTTTATAAGGAGGCCCAAAGGTGAGTTCAAAAACACAGAGTCCCCACCACCATCACCATGGATGTCGAAAAAGTTTTCCACATGACTGGGGGAAGTGGCGAGGCTAGTTATGCAAGGAATTCTTCAATTCAGGTCCCTCTCTCTCTCTCTATGCGGAAAACACATATACAGATCTGTATTGTATGTCACTGTATTAACTATTGGAATTTTTTTTTTGGAGTGGTTTAGTGATTGACGTTGATCTTTAATAATTCAGAGGTCTAACGTTCAATTCTTTTTCACTCTATGAGTTAGCCACCATTTTTTTATTATCCAATTTTCTAACGTTCAATCATTTTCACACTCTCTAAAAATTAGTTACCCTTGTTTTATAACTCAATTCAAGTTACAGTAGTCAGCCACTGGTCGATGGATTAATCAATGCATGTCTGGACAATCTGTAACAAAAAAAACTTAACTTAATTTTTCTAAAACTAGTGTAACTTTTTTGTTGGGAAAACTACACTTGAACCCCCAAATTATGGCACCACTCACTTCAAGTGCCCGAACTATATGCTTTCTCAATTTACATTCTAAACTCTTGATTTCAGTTTCAAATTGCATGCAATCGTTAACTTTTATAAAGTTTTCAGTGCAAATTAGTGTTAAAATGGAATTACACAATATTGAGAGATATGATCTTTCTCACCTCAGGTGGGCAGAATCTCATTTTCGCCTTGATTTATCTTGAAAATTGGACATAAGTTAATGTTTAGGACAATGTAAAATTGAAACTAATAGTTTAAGATGGGATGTGAGAAAACGGATCATTTGAGCGATTTTCCGGAAATGAGGGGCATATTTGGGGATATTAAGTGTAATTTTTCCTTTTTTGTTTTTTTTTTTTGTACTGGCAGAAGAGTGCATCTGAAAAGGTGAAGCACATAGTCCTGGAGACCATTGTAGAACTCTATCTCTCAACAACTCCGAAGAGCTTAGGATTAGCGGACTTGGGTTGTTCCTCTGGACCAAATTCACTATCAATCATGAAGGCAATGCTTCAGACTGTTGAAGAGAACTGTCTCAAACTCCGGCAACCGGAGCCCGAATTCCGGGTGCACCTAAATGATCTGCCAACTAACGACTTCAATGCAATCTTTAAAGACTTGCCAGATTTCTATAAGGAGCTGAGGAAAGGAAGAAGCTCTGGTGGTCCATCTGTATACATAGGTGCATTTCCTGGCTCCTTTTATGGAAGACTTTTTCCAGACAGTTGCTTGCACTTCATTTATTCCTCGAACAGTTTGCACTGGCTCTCTAGGGTAACACTCACTATTTTATTCTCTTCCTCTTCTTGTCGCAGTACTTTTTTTTTTTTTGGGACATGCGCTGGGTTAATATCGTGTTCGAATCGGTTTTGGGTAAGCAGAATTTAGGTGAGTTGTTGGAATCCGCTTTGAGTAAGCTTAGAACGAAATAGAAAAAAACTTAAAAAAAAGAAAGATGGGATAAAGAAATGCAAAATACAAGTCCCAAGGATGGATATGGAGTGATTAATACTTGATTTTGTGCAGCTTCCTCCATCTCTATACGACGAGCAAGGGAAGTCGATAAACAAAGGCAACATATATATATCCGAATCCAGTCCTACGCAGGTCTCCGGGGCATACTATAGCCAATTCCAAGAGGACTTCTCCTTGTTCCTTCGATCTCGGTCCCAAGAGTTAATTGTCGGAGGACGAATGGTGTTGATCTTGTGGGGAAGGAGAGGTTCAGATCATGTCGACAGAGACAATATAATTTTGTGGGAATTGCTCTCTCGATCCTTCAAGATTTTAGTTTCTCAGGTATTCTTCCCTGCCATTCGCATATAGTCCAGTTCAGTCGTTATAAATTTATAATTTTACCAACTAAATATTTTAGGATAAGTTGTATTTCATATTCTAAAAAATTTCAAGATTATCACTTTATACCTTCAAAGATTAAAATTTTCACATCACACCCTCCATGTATCAAAAATGTTATAATGAGATATTTATGTTTGCTTTTTATTAGTTTTTTTTCCGTCACTGTCAATGTGCTGAATTTTGACAGAAAAAAATAACAAAAGTTAACATAACGGTCACTTTGCAACATTTTTGATATATTGAAGGTGCAATGTGAAAAATTTAATTTTGAGAATTCAGAGTGAGAATCTTGAAATTTTTTAAAATATAAAGTGCAAAAAATCCTATATTTTATCCGCTTATACGGAATTAACATGTATTACCTAATACAGTTCATTGTTTTACAATATGACAACCAAACGAACGATTAACGTACTAACTCATCAAACTCTTGCTGCTTTCATAGGGAGAAATTGAGGAGGAAAAACTTGATTCTTATGAAATTCATTTTTATGGACCATCGAGAGATGAATTAGAAGAAGAAGTGAGGAGAGAGAGTTCTTTTATAATGGACCGGCTTGAAATGTTTGAATTCGAGAGGAATGTTGAGGCTGGTAGGAGCTATGGGATGACTGTCGCAAAGACAGTACGTGCCGTCCAAGAATCACTGATTTCCCACCATTTCGGAGAAGGGATTTTAGAGAGTTTATTTGAGCACTATGGAAGATTAGTGGATGAAGAAATGGCTATACAAGAGATTAAGCCAATTGCTTTTGTTCTTGTTCTTAGAAAATTATGACCAGAAACATGCATGAAAACTTTCAGAAATTGTAACATGCATGGCAAGATTTGTGCACCACCTGATCTGGTACAATCTCAACTATGGAATATTTGATAAATTTTGTGGGACCTATTAATCTAATAGTGCATGTTGAGGTGGTGCAAGCAAGGTGTGTGTGTGTGTAACATTGCTATTTATTATAAAATAATGATACTGGAACGAAATTTTTTTTTGTCTTTATTGTATTATAAGTGCTTGATGGATTTAGAGCAATTGAGGTGGGTTTTGGCCCATCATACCTGCAAGCACATTGAATTTGGACGAGACTAAAATACGATCATCAGACCTTTAAAAGACAAAGAAATCTCACATTTAAAAATTTGGGTATGAATTTGAATATTTCTTAATTTGAGTAAAAAAGTGAGTCTTCCTTAATTTAATACGAGTTTGGGTATATAATTGGAGAATGTTTTTAGAAATTTTTTATCAAAATTTATATTTGATTTTTAAAAAGGGTAAGAATTGGAAATGATCTTAGCTGCTACTGTTTTGATCAAGACTTCGTGGGTCTTCTGCCTATCATTCTTAGAACTTTTTTCCTTTGCCTTGGAAAAGGCTCATTGTTCAACTAGTTACTGAAATAAATATCTTAACAGATTTAAAAGAAACCAACCTAACTAGATGACTCTGAAGGTACTTTACGTCAATCCCTATCTTATTAGAGGCACTCCAACTTGATGATTGAAGGCACTTCAAAAGTAATACGTTTGAAGGTTCACTATGTTCCAGGGTCATGGAATTGGCTTCTTCCCCTCGATGGTCTCATGCTTGTAGGATGCGTTAACCCCAGCTGATGAGATCCTATAAGGCCCTTACCAATTGTCCCCGAGCTTTCCTTCTGTGGGCTCTCTGGCAGTGCCAATGATTTTCTTATGTACCAGATCCCCGACCCTTAATACCTTTGGACAGACCTTTCGACTATGAGCCCAGACCATCTGTTAATGAGAGGATGCCTTTATTATGGCTGCCGACTTCATTTTTTTCCTCTGTTAGGTCCAAGTCTTTGGCGTTGAATTCCTCGTTTCTACCACTGTCCGTGAGTTCAGACCTAAGAATGGAAAGACATTCTTAGAACATTCTCAGTCTCATTGTTGGGATGGAAAAAAAACTTGAGGTGTGTACATTCTTAGAACAAATTTTTACTTCAACATCTGGAGAGCGAAAATTTAACCTTTAGAGAGAACTACAATGAATTCATATGGAAAGCAACGAGTTTATATTGAGTTTTTCTCTAGATTCAAACGGATTTGTGACGAGGTTGCTACAAGTAAGAAACCACGATCTGACTCAGGCAAGGTTGTGAGGAAAATGAATGGCTTTGGATAAAACTTTGAACATCTTATCAATGGTATGGAGAAGCCACCTTTTCTTATTACTCATAGTTTATTCCATCCTTGATAGGGTATGAGACAAGAAATAGAGTCTCATATCCTATTAAGGATATGAGACACATTCATTTTTTATAAATGCAATGCAATGTCATTTTCACACTAACATCAACGTCAATGTTTTGTTTATTTATGTAGTTGTGGATATGAGAGCGTTTAACACACATTTGTCCACAGAGATTGCTCCCGCGTGTCCCTTTAGCCCATGGATTAGCTGATGGAGGACATTTACATGCAGAGGACCTCCCGCCACATGATGTTGCCGCACCTGTACCTAATTCCGCGCCACATGATGAATTGTCGGTAGGCCTTCATAGGTGTAGGTAAGACAATAAATAGTTAAACGATTTATTTGTTCCTTGTATGTATTGGTAACTAATGTCATATGTTTTTTTTTTGGTTTACAGGTGAGATGTTGCATTTTCAAAGTAGCACACCCTTACCCATGTTCTCGGACATTGCAAATATCAGCTTGACCAGATGCAGAATGAGTAGGTATACCAACACTTTCACATGTATTATCGAGTTATTTGTGTGATTGGTGGTTTGTTGTTTGTGTGATGGGTGGTTACTTGTTTTCATGGTTGGTTGGTTGGTGGTTTTTGTATGGCTGGATAGTTTGTTGGTTGGCTTATTGTATGGTAGGTTTGTTGGATGGTTTGTACAATTAGTGGATATTTGTGAATTTTTAGAGGAAGCTCTGCCAATTTTTTTTGTAATTTGTTTGTTTAAATGGTTTAAACTAGTTGTTTTGTGGTGTATGAATGTAATGTAATATGCAACAGTTGTTTTTTATAAATTTTTGCATAGGTTAAAAATTTTTGAGGAGAAATTCTGCCGAAATTTTTATTAAATGCCTTATAACAACTAATTATATTTTTATATTGTAGATCATATGACAACCTCTCACTATGGATGTGTTGGGTAGTCTACCTGATTACTATTTGTGGGGGCGAGATCTATGGACTACACAAGAACCACTCATATGTTTTGATGTGGTAGAGTGACATTTCCTCCACGTGCTCTCCGACAGTTTGGGTGCAGACAATCGATACCGGCGGTGTGTGATTCGGGTAGGGAGTTGCATGTCACAAATGGGAGTGACAAGTCTAGTTATGACTAAATTATTGCACATCAACACTATACCATCATGTGGGATCGGCGGCAGGACATTATTGTTCACGACAAGCCCACCATTGATATGGTGGTTCTCGCTGATCCATACATGGAGTGGTATCAACGTATTACACGTCTACTTATTGAACCACCCATTCCGAAGCCTGATGTCGGTGTTCAACCTGTCGGTAATATCATCGAGCTGTTGGTATGGACTGCTAAATTGTTAGTTAATATTAACGTGTTACTTAAATAACTTTATAATGTACTAAAACCATAAGCTTATGGTTATGCAGGAGCAAACATTGACTCAGATATATCACACACAACATCTGATATGGTTAATGGGCAACCTTATATGAATACTTGTTTGGCAGCCATCAGCCGAATCAAGAATTTTAGCTACAACTATTTGTGAGCATCGTTGTCTCGTACATGCATCGCCTGACATTCGACGGCTATTAGTTGCACCACCAATTCCTACACATCAGCGTGGTATACGTATTCCAAGGTGGATGACGATGACATGACTGCCTGGACGGACCTTCTTATCGGCCAGGGATACTGCTTCGACCTCATCAGTAGCCCGCTCATGATATGTAGTAGTTAGGTCGATCGAGCCGTGATCCCCCAGGTATCCGACCAACAATTAATACTTGTGTTCTAGCAAGAAACATAGGTTGGGTTTGGTGATGAAAGTCCTTGTCATCAATACTAGTGATGAGTTGAGGTAATGCTCTCGAAACAAGGGCGGTTTGAGGAAATCGGCTCTGTGATAAAGAATCCAAAAGTTGGTTGAAGGCCTACTACTTACTTAGTTAAGTATTCAAAATCTCACATACAGACTTGTCATCTTCATATGTTCCCTACACCACCGGAGTGTGTCCACCACATGTCCCTATTACTGATTATCGCAGTCCACCACACATTGCAGAGCATGACACTATACCATCTGTTGCTGATCATGGCAGTCTAACACCTGTTGTTGATCATAACACTCCAACAATCATTCACCCTCTCTTATAGGCAACTATAGTGACATCAGTTTTTACATCACTGACTTTGCCCACACGTGGATACATCGGCATGACGATGCACACCTTCACAGAAGGCAGTTGATACAGGAGATATGCCACATGTAAATGCCCAGGCAGATACATTGTTTCCCAATGTGCTTTGTATTCCATAGACTATTCCGTCAATGCCTTACTGGCCTACATCTCTTATCCCATATGAGGACTCTTCTAGAGATAATGAGATTCCTGTTAAGGGAGTGACTTAGGGGCCATCGTTTTTGCTCAAAGGGCGAGGCAGAGGGGGACCTAGAGCATGAGGTGTATGTGGAGTCAACGGTCGTGATCACCATACACATGATCCTGTAGATTGTGTAGTGTCTCAAGATGTTCCAAATCCTCCTGATGGACAACGGCCCAAGTGATAGTAGCGACCACCACCTTGTGGGATGTAGTCCATTTGTTTCATCTTTATTTTGCATTTTGTAAGTAGTGTTGTATATAACATTTTTTTTTGGGTTCATATTTAGTTTTATGTTACTTACACCGCTGCATTGTAAACTAGTTATAAAATATTGTATGCAACAAATTTAAATCAATATCAACACAATTTATTTAATTGAAACACACAACCCTAATTGGATTACTACACCACATTTCATAGAAACATAAGAAACCTACATACTGGAAACACAACTATGACAATATTGTCTAAAGAGTAGCATAACATCTTCATCAGACATGTCGACATTAGAAATACGTCTAGCTTTTTTACTCAATTGGAAGCTTAAAATTGCTTCTTCTATCAAACCTTCTGCAGCATGGCCTCGTGCGATGCGACGAAGGTTGTACCGACTGAAATGAATTGCCAAGCGATTGTTCTCAGCTCAAATACAAAACAATACTCGCTCTAATCCGTGAGGAGCTTCAATGGGCATACCATTGACAATTTGTCGAGGCCTTTGTATATTACAAACAAGTAAATCTGAGCTTAGATTTTCTCTTTCTGTGAAACGATATAGCCATTCTGCCATCATTGTGATTTTGACCATTCTTGAATAACGTAAATGATGATTCAATGGATAGAAGGACTCATCCTCTAACGACCAAGGATAATCCAGAGTTTCAAACATTGTTCACGAACTATATAATTCATGGTTAAAGATGAAGTTGGTACAATGAAGTGTTTCACAGATGTTGATTAAATAGTCACATTCAATAGGTTGTTGGAGTTGGTCTTGCCAGATTTTTAGTAAGCCACGTGATGAAGTGACTTAACACTGATTCAAATAATAGTGTTTTGTAAGGAAAACATTGTAATGAATGTGAGTACGCACTAGTGTGTAGTCAAAATGTATGACAGTATGCAGTGTGTAGTCACAATGAATGACGAGCGTCAATAAACAAAAAATTTAATAACTAGCCAAGATTGATGGGTTTT